AAACTCCGTCTCAAAAAAAAAAAAAAAAAGTGCTCATAAAAAAAGATCATAAACCCCCCAAAAAAGTGAGTGAGGCCATGTGAAAGTTAACAAAAACACCCGTATCTCTCTTTTTATCAAGCGATGTTCCTGCCTCAGCCTCCCCAGTAGCTGGGATTACAAGCACGTGCTACTACATACACCCAGCTAATTTTCGTATTTTTTAGGAGAGACAGGGTTTTGCCATGATGGCCAGGCTGGTCTCGAACTCCTGACCTCAGGTGATCCACCCATCTTGGCCTCTCAAAGTGCTGGGATTACAGACATGAGCCACCATGCCCAGCCTCATATCTCTTTTTTCAGTGCATTATCTACTTATGCCTTTTACCCATTTATTTTCACTGAGGTTTTAGTATTTTTCTTATTAATTTAATAAGTTCTTTGTATTTTATAGATGCCAACCAGTTGCCCAGAATCGAAATGAACTTTGCCTCTGAGCTGAAGGCTCAATTTCTATAAGGGGAAGGACAGCTGGCTGCCTAGGGCCTGATTATAGCTGGAACCTCCCAAAGGACAGAGGAACATGTCATCAGCCCGGGCCAGCCCAGGCCACCAAGCCAGAGCAAGGGTGTGGTGCTTCCTCCTCCCTCCCTACCTAGGGCAGCTTCCTTTGACAGCACACTTGCTGCCTCAAACTTCTAGCAAATACCATTCTTTCAAATAGTAGAAGGGGGTCAGAATGAGCTATATGAGATTTTTTTTAAAAAAGAATTTTCTTGGCAGGGTGTGGTGGCTCACACCTATAATCCCAGCACTTTGGCAGTCTGAGGTGGGTGGATCATGAGGTCAGGAGATTGAGACCATCCAGGTTAACATGGTGAAACCCCGTCTCTACTAAAAATACAAACATGGTGAAAACCCATCTCTACTAAAAATACAAAAGTGAGCCGGGCATGGTGGCTAACGCCTGTAATCTCAGCTACTCGGGAGGCTGAGGCAGGAGAATCACTTGAGTCTGGGTGGTGGAGGTTGCAGTGAGCCGAGATCGCATCATTCCACTCCAGCCTGGGTGACAGGGCAAGACTCTCTCTCAAAAAAAAAAATTTCCTTTCTTCAAATAAATAGGGGAACAGCTGAAGGAGAAAATTACACGAAGAAATATGGAAATAAACTAAAACAGAGGCTTCAAAAGCTAGAAGAGAGCACCCTCTACTTTAGAAGAAAAAAAAAAAAAAAAAAAAACCAACTTCACTAATTCAAAGAAAATTAATGTGGCAGAGAAATTACATGCTCTTTGCCACATTAGAGAATATGCTCATAATAGAATATGCTCATGGGGTGTCCACTGCAGATTTCTTCCCAGTTCGCCTCTACTTGGTCCAAGCTGACCCACCCAGCCTTGGCTGCCAGAAGGGAGCACTATCAACCTGGTTGAGAAGATGAAATAATGGCCACAAAAGGTTCGAGCTTTTAAGAGCTGTAAAGTTCCTCACCAGAGTCCTATAATGTACAGCCACTACTGGCACCCCTACCTGGTTCTCCTGTCTCTCTACTCCACTCCCGAGCTCACCTCCTCCTCCCTCTGCAGACAATCTCCTCCTTCTCCCTTTCTTTCCTGCCTTCTGCTGTTTTTGACCTACTCTTTCTACTAGCTCTGACACTTCCCACATCCCCAAGCCAAAGCATTCCAAACCATTGTATTTACATTCTCAGGGCCCTTGGTCAGCTATGAGTTTGATTATTCAGATTATCCATTCCTGGGAAGAAACAATTTGGTTTAATTTCATCTAACATCTAAATGCATTATGCATATGGAAAGTATTGTTTTGATTAAATTTGTTGGCTGGGCACAGGGGCTCACACTTATAATCCCAGCATTTGGGAGGCAAGGCAAGGTGGACAGATCGCTTGAGCCCAGGAGTTAGAAACCAGCTTGGGCAACATGGCGAAACTTCATCTCTACAAAAAATGCAAAAAATAAATAAATATAGAAATTAGTCAAGCATGGTGGTGCACACCTGTAGTCCCAGCTATTCGGGAGGCTGAGGTGTGAGGACCGCTTGAGCCTGGGAGGCAGAGGTTACAGTGAGCCATGATTACACCACTGCACTCCAGCCTGGGTGAAAGAAGACGACCCTGTCTCAAAAAACAAACAAAAATTTATAAAATACCCTGGGGCTCCAATAAATGTTGTAAAAGTACCACAAACGAACATGCACATCCAGGCCGGTGTGATGGCTCACACCTGTAATCCCAGCACTTTGGGAGGATGAGGTGGGTGGATCACCTGAGTCAGGAGTTTGAGACCAGCCTGACCAACATGGAGAAACCCCATCTCTACTAAAAATACAAAATTAGCAGGGTATGGTGGTGCATGCCTGTAATCCCAGCTACTTGGGAGGCTGAGGCAGGAGAATCACTTGAACCCAGGAGATGGAGGTTGCAATGAACCGAGATCACACCATTGCATTCCAGCCTGGGCAACAAGAGCAAAACTCCATCTCAAAAATAAAAAAAGAAAGAGTAAGATTCCAAAGGCCAAGTAAGTAGAGCCAGTAAGTAAAATCCATCACTGTCTCCCAGGAAGGCTGCATTTATGGACCTTCAGAGCTTATTGCCATAACTAAAAATCAACTGGAGGCCGGGGTCATGTCTGCAATCCCTCAGCACTTTGGGAGGCTGAGGTGGGCGGATCACCTGCGGTCAGGAATTCGAGACCAGCCTGGCCAATACGGTGAAACTCCGTCTCTACTAAAAATACAAAAATGAGCCCAGCATGGTAGCACACACCTGTAGCCCCAGCTACTCGGGAGGCTGAGGCAGGAGACTCACTTGAACCAGGAAGGTGGAAGTTGCAGTGAGCCGAGATCATGTCACTGCACTCCAGCCTGGGTGATAGAGTGAGACTCCATCTCAAAAATAAAAATAAACTGGAGAGGGGAAAGGGGTTGGGGAGCATCCTCTGGATATATAAAGAGAGGCACTCACTGTAGGAGAGGAGGCAGAAAGAAATGCTGTTTGTTGATGGTTCTTTTCCAGAGAGCAAGAGAGGGGAGAGGAAAGGCGGAGAGCAGCGGGGAGCCCACAGTAGAGACCCCACAGTGGGGCCAGGTGTCCTGCACTCTGTATTCCCACTTTGGCCGGAGCCAGCCCAAAGTCCAGGCCAGCAGGTGATGCCCCAGCTATGCCCAATGGATCCTGCTGGTTCCACCATTTCCCTGCATGGTACCAAACCCAAAGTCAGCTTCCCTCTCTTTGCAAAATAAAACCCCAACCCTGGTATTACTGCTTCTCTGCCTCCTCGCCAAAAGGGCTTCATGATTTCATGACATTAGTTTAAACCTAAAATTAAATGTACATTTTATTTTAAAAAATAACAATTCCGACCGGGCGCGGTGGCTTACACCTGGTAATCCCAGCACTTTGGGAGGCCGAGGCGGGCGGATCACGAGGTCAAGAGATCGAGACCATCCTGGCCAACATGGTAAAACCCCGTCTCTACTAAAAAATAAAAAAATTAGCCGGGCGTGGTGGCGCGCGCCTGTAGTCCCAGCTACTCGGGAGGCTGAGGCAGGAGAATTGCTTAAACCCGGGAGGCGGAGGTTGCAGGGAGCCGAGATCGTGCCACTGCACTCTAGCCTGGTGACAGAGCGAGATTTCCTCTCATAATAATAATAATTCCATGCGAAATGCCTTAAGTGCTTACATTGGAGACATACAAAAAAAATTGATTCGGGATTCAGCAGTGTGAGGGAGAGATGGCTTAATCTCTTCTATTTGAAGGCTTCTGGAACCCTACGGAACTCTGGGACACGGGCCTGCTTAGAAAAAAGGCAAGCTGTGTCAGATTCCTCTGACTCTTCCTCCCCGGGGGGAGCAGGAGCCAATTGCTTGCTTTCTCTTAAAACTAGTCCACACAGCCCCAAACCAAGTTCCCAGAAAATGGGCAGCCGTAAAATCCTGTTTCCCAGGAGATGTGCCGCGCTTTACAGTGCAAGAAATGGGGACAGTACAGGCCGGCAAATCCAATTTCTAAAAGAGCATCATCCCTCACGGAGGTGGTTCGCTCTCGATCGCCACCAGCACGAAGGCGGTAGAAAGTCGGAGGCTCGGTTTGTCACAGGCAGATTATGCGGCTGAAGCCTCCCACGTGCAAGCGCTGCCTCCCGCGCCCGCCCCCTCACCTTGTTCGTGAGGTAAGAAGCCAGGTAGCAGGTACAAAAGGTGAGGCCGACCAGGGACCTCCTCACGCACATCTGTCAACTCGTCCCCTTCCCGGGGACCCGCCGTGCCTTCCCGAACCTCCTGGCCCCCGCCGGAGGCCTGCAGCAGCAACAGCAGCCCCGAGACGGCCACGTGGCTCCGAGCTCTACCAATCAGCGCGGGGGCCGCCCCCCCACCCCCGACGTCTGCCTCCTTAAAGGGGCAGCGCCCGGGAAGGCCCGGCAGCCTGGAGATGCGCAGGGCGGCATTCAGCCAGAGCTGTGTCTGCAACCAAGGATGGCACCGGCTGTGACCGCCAGTACAGGAAGGTTGGACGGCCATCCTTCTTTTAAAAAGTAGAAAGTGGCAGAAGAGGAAAAAAGCATACCCCAGTTCACAATACCCCATCATGTTTAAAGAAAAATGTTCGCCGGGCGTGGTGGCTCACACCTGTAATTCCAGCATTTTGGGAGGCCAAGGTAATCCCAGCACTTTGGGAGGCTAAGGAGGGCGGATTCACCTGAGATCAGGAGTTCGAGACCAGCCTGACCAACATGGAGAAAGCCCTTCTGTACTAAAAATACAAAATTAGCACGACATGTTGGCACATGTCTGTAATTTCAGCTACTTGGGGGGCTGAGGCAGGAGAATCGCTTGAACCTGGGACGCGGAGGTTGCGGTGAGCGGAGATCCTGCCATTGCACTCCAGCCTGGGCGACAAGAGTTAAACTCTGGCTGCGAAAGAAAAATATTCATCGCCCTCTCTAAACGAAGGAACCAAAATGTTACCCGTGCTTTACTGTATTTTCCCAATTTTCTCCACTGAGCCTGTAGCGCTTTGATAAATGACACAAAAAAAGGTAACAACAATAAATGTTAACTTAAAAGGAAGGTGAAGGAGGAAGGAACTGGAATTGAGGATAGGTCTTTTTAGTTAGTTTGTTTTGTTTGTATTTAAGTAAAGTCATTCCATTGTGTTAGCATTTCTGTAAAATAAGAACGCTTTCCCAAAGTAGAGTTTCAAGCACAGCCCCTATTCCTGTTTCTAGTCTGTAGGGTGGAAAATTGGACTCATGAGGCTTCTGGCGAATATTAGTAAACATGCAAGAAAACCTGTTGATGGACTTGGACAGTAGCAAGACGTTCCAGTGTTCTCTGCCTGTAGAAACGCAGAGTTTTTCAGAAACACCACATACACGGGGAAACTATCACTTGTAAGCCACAGCAAAAGTCCTCCTGGCCCTTGGTGCTAGAGCAGTGGATGGAAAAGGGCACACCAACCCTTAGGCAATTCTTCTGTTTTTCAGAGGCATGCCTTGTTTCTCTCTGCTCCTTCCAGCGTTGAGGAAGGAATGACTTTGGCTTGTCCCTTGAAGCCACTCCCCAGCCTCCACTGTCCCATCACAGTCCTTGGACTCTGCTCACTTTTCCACAGGCCTCTTCCTGGGCCTGCTGGTTGGTCTGCCGAGGGGACCAGCATAGAGATGGAGGTGGGCTGGTCACCCCTTCCCTCCCTTTTCTCCCACAGTCTCCATCAAACCATTTGTATAGATGGATATAACTTTCTCTACTGAAACTAGGTGATATGGTTTGGCTGTATCCCCAGATCTCATTTTGAATCATAGTTCCCATAATTCTCACATGTTATGGGAGGCACCCGGTGGCAGATAATTGAATCATGGGGGCAGTTTCTCCCATACTGTTCTCGTGATAGTAAATAAGTCTCATGAGATCTTATGGTTTTACCCCTTTCCCTTGGCTCTCATTTTTTCTCTCTTGTCTGCTGCCATGTAAGACGTGCCTTTTGCCTTCCACCATGATTGTCAGGCCTCCCCAGCACCGTGGATCTGTGAGTCCATTAAATTTCTTTTTCTTTATAATTTACCCAGTCTCAGGTAAGTCTTTATCAGCAGCATGAAAACAGACTAATACATTGGGTTATTTAAAAAAAAAAAATACAGAGCAGGAAGAGAGGAGACGAGGCTTCAAATCCATTACATTTTCCTCTCCACAGAAATAAAATCATGTGAGAACTTAACACTTCACAAGAGGGCCCCTTCACAAGCCTGCACTCAGTTTTCACCCATCGCTCTTGTCCCAGGGTTTGTGTCTCCCTCTCCAAAACACCAATATTTAATGGCAATTTTAAAAGATCATTGTGGTGGGGCGCAGTGGCTCACACCTTTAATCCCAGCACTTTGGGAGGCCGAGGTGGGCCACCTGTTATATCGACCTGTACAAGTGGATCACCTAAGGTCGGGAGTTCAAGACCAGCCTGACCAACATGGAGAAACTCTGTCTGTACTAAAAATACAAATTAGCCGGGCATGGTGGCACATGCCTATAGTCCCAGCTACTTAGAAGGCTGAGGCAGGAGAATCACTTGAACCTGGGAGGCAGAGGTTGCAGTGAGCTGAGATCACACCAGTGCACTCCAGCCTGGGCAACAAAAGTGAAACTCTGTCTCAAAAAACAAACAAACCAAAAAAAAAAAAAAACATTTTAACAATACCAATAGAATAGAGATCTATAAAAGAACAAATAATAAACCAATACCACACTGTTAACCACCACTACCCACATAACCAATATTAACAGGTTGGTGCATCCTTCTACAGCTTCCTTTGTATTCATAGATCAACATATACCCATTTATAAGTTGTTGCCTCACAAAAATGGATCTAGCTATTCACATTGCTAAAGAACTTACTTTTACAACTACAGGTCAACACATACAGATTTAATTCTTTTTAAAAGCTGCAGGCATTCCATAGTATGGATATATCATGATGTATTCAACCATTCTGCTGTTGACATAATTATGTTGTTTATAGTCTTTTGCTACCATAAACAAGGCTATAATCTACATCTTTGTACATATGTCTTTACCTCCTGCTGATTTAATTTCTGTAAAATAGATTCCCAACAGGAAGACTGCAGAATCACAGCATGTGTGTATTTTTTTTTTAAATCATTTCTGTCTACTTCCCTGTACTATCTGCTTACGGGAATCCTGCTTAGATCCAGCTCTTCTCACACACTTCAGGCAGAACTTATTCTCCTCTCTTTTCCATTACTACTTTTTAATACCTGTTACAATAATTAGCAGCATACATTTTTTCTACATTGTGATTCACGAAGAAAATTGTAGTATTTGTTGAGAGCCCCTGGCTAAATTGCTGACACTGCTTAGGGTCTGAAACGCTGTCCAGGCTTCCCTGAAGTTGAGGAGAAACTCCTGTAACTCTTGCCCAGCCACATCAGTTAAGAAGCTGTATTAGGCTGAGTGTGGTGGCTCACGCCTGTAATCCCAACACTTTAAAGGCCGAGATGGGTGGATCACCTGAGGTCAGGAGTTCAAGACCAGCCTAGCCAACATGGGGAAACCCCATCTCTGCTAAAAATATAAAAAATTATCTGGGCACGGTGGTGTGCACCTGTAATCCCAGCTACTTGGGAATCTGAGGTAGGAGAATCACTTGAACCCAAGAGGAAGAGGTTGCGGTGAGCCGAGATCACACCCTTGCACTCCAAGCTGGGCGACAGAGTGAGACCCTGTCTCAAAAAAAGTAAGAAAATTTAAAGAAGCTGTATTAAAGTCAGGGTGTTGCATACCCTCTCTCCCCAGCCACATGGCTATTCTTGGAGAGCATAGGCACCCCATGCTTAGCTCAGTGCCTTACACATACTAGGTATACTAATACACGCATGGTGAAGGAATCCATCAACTGAATGAAGGCATCAATGAAGTGATGTAGGCATGGGATTTAAAAATGTTAAGCAGCATGGAACACATATAATACCAAAAAGCAATGGAATCCTTAACACAAAAGACACCTACAGTCACCAACTTACATGGGCATCAAACAACCTCACAGGAGATTGCCTCACAGGATATTACTGTTAAGAGGGTAACAACTACCACAAATGAGAAACTTAAATTGCATTGCCAGAAACAGTTTTGTTGGTAAACTTCTTTGATAGTTCTTATTGCTTTGTTTCGCTATTGTCCAAGCTTTGTACAGTGTTGCCTAAAAAGTAATGAGTACACCAATTCAGTTCCTAATTAAAGGTATTTATACTATATTAAGTTTAATCTCACTTATATATTGTTATCAAAGAAATCTAATAGTTCTCTTTTAAAATTCTTTGAGATGAGGTCTTGCTCTGTCACCCAGGCTGGAGTGCACTGATCTTGGCTCACTGCAACCTCTGCCTCCCGAGCTCAAGCGATCCTCCCATCTCAGCCTCCTGAGTAGCTGGACTACAGGCACATGCTGCCATGCCCAGCTAATTTTTGTATTTTTTGTAGAGACTAAGTTTTTCCATGTCACCCAGGCTGGTATCAAACTCCTGGACTCAAGCCATCCACCTGCCTTGGCCTCCCAAAGTGCTGAGATTAAAGGTGTGAACCACCTTGTCCAGCTAAAATCTAATCATTCTAATATAAGATTGCAATATTTAATTATTTAATTTTATTTTAAAGTTTCAAAAAATAGGCAGAATGTGAAATTGGTTTTCAATCAAATGAAGAAATGCTATTTGAGCGGTATGTATAAATGTATGTGATGGAAGGTTTCCAGATATGCCCAGAAATTCAAAAGGCTTCAAAACAGAGAAGAAATTGAAAGGAAGTTGAGAGACTGTATCAGTTAGGATATTTTCTAGTGTAAGAACTTCTAACGCATACTGGCTTAAATAATAAGAATACATTGGTTCATGTAATTGAAAAGTCCAGCCCAGGCGCGGTGGCTCACACCTGTAATCCCAGCACTTTGGGAGGCCCAGGTGGGCAGATCACAAGGTCAAGAGATCGATACCATCCTGGCCAACATGGTGAAACCCCATCTCTACCAAAAAATTCAAAAATTAGCTGGGTGTGGTGGCACGTGCCTATAGTCCCAGCTACTTGGGAGGCTGAGGCAGGAGAATCACTTGAACCCGGGGTGGTTGCAGTAAGCCGAGATCTTGCCTCTGCACTCCAGTCTGGCTACAGAGCAAGACTCCGTCTCAAAAAAAAAAAAAAAAAAAAAAAAAAAAAAAAAAAAAAAAAAAGAAGAAGAAGAAAAGAAAAGTCCAGATAGATCAGGCTTCATGTATAGTTTGGTCCAAGCATTCAACAATATCTGGGGTATCACCAAGAACTAGG